GATACACTTTGTTTTGGTTACCAAAATAAAATTAAATAAAATAAAAAAATTCAGTTCTTTGAACCAGTGAACTCAAAGTTGTAAAGTGGGGGTTTGCCAAGTTGTCAAAATGCCAAGATGCTCTGGGAGCAGAGTTTGAATGACATCAGAGCAGTGAAATGCAGGTTGTCATGTTTGCCTTGATTTAATAAGACTGTTAAACCCCCCTGTTTGCAAGAAAACTTACAGCAACGCCACAGGCAGAAACACATTTACTGGCGAGAAACTGGATGAAGAAGGAAAATAAAGCCAAGAAAGGAAAGGAAAGGACCACTGAAATGGAACAAATAGCACGGCGATATCCAATCAATCTCTGCTTTTTACTTTTTTTTCTTTGTTTCCTCTTCAGTCTACATCTGGCCAGAGGGCCACAACGAACCAAACTGTTTTCTTCAATTCAGAGACAACCTATCTGCGTTCTTAGAAACCTCAGTAATCAGAGCGGGCCTCTCGTAAACAGAAACCCAAACAGAAATAGCCCACAGGCTCGCCCCACGCTCACCTTGCCAAGGAGCTTTCAGTGCTGAGGAGGCAGGATGAATATCRTGCAAAGTCATTCAGGAAAAGTGAGCAAGACAGACAGGATCTTATTTGGAAACAAAGCCCAGCTCTTCTCCTACCCCTCCTTCACCGGACAGGGTCAGGATGTGGGGGCAGGGTGGCGTGAAGGCCTGGCTCAGGGGCGACAGGTGGAATCAGTCAAGAGTCCGGCTGCAGGGAAACTGCATGCAGATGTGCACACAAAAAAAAAAATCAGGCGCAAACACAGCTCTGCTCAAACAGCATCGCGTTACCTCCCCATGGAGGAAACCGAGAGCGTTATGGATTTTTCAAATCTCATTTGCAAGACACAACAAAAAAGCCTGCGAGTTGCACAATGCAGACATGTTTTAAACATGCTTCAGCTCTGAGCCTAAAAATGGAAACCTTAGATATTTAATCACCTGCTGACAAAGACGAAGGTTGAAACCACGGGCTGACCAATAGGTGCTGATGTGCAAGATAACAAAAAATATGAATAAATGAAAAACAAAAACCCTCTTGGAGCAGTTGTAGAGAATCATTAGCTGCAGGTGAGTGGGTTATCTGCTCTGAAACAGAGAGCAGAGGAAGCAGCTTAAATGGTAATGTGTAAAAATAGAGATTCTGAATGCAGGATCACTGTTGCAGAGCTGCGACGATAAGAATTTTTATGATCCCACGAGGTGGTATACCTCCAGTGTTAAAACTATTAAAATGATGAGTGAGCATGCAGCTCCGATAAGGAGGTCAGCAGGAGGCTGAAGATTTGTTCGACTCCTTTTAGCCTGAAAAATAAACAGTTATCCAGTTAACTCCCTGTTTTTGAAACTTTAAGATAAAAGCTGAACGGCGTCTTTTTCCTTCTCCTTCAGAGCACATGGGTGTCTGCGTGTGTTCGTTCGTCTTCTGTGTCAGCAAAATATCCCATGAACTACTGGACAGAGGTGTTAAATAGTAAAGTACTACTTTGTTGCCTTATTGATGCAGACATTTTTGTTATCTATACTGGAGTAACTGATTTTCAAATGACTTTTTAGTTTTCACTCCTTACATTTTAAAATTAGCCTCATCACTCCTGTTTCATTCCAGCTTGTCATCATTCAAAAATAGAAAGTAAAATCCATCCAGATACACRATGTCTCCTGGATGGAGTGAATTTAAATGTTATTGGATGAGCAGTTTAAATATAAACCATTCCGACACCCTGTTAGTTTGCAGTCACCTGCACATGATAAATCACGTYACATATCAAACGTATGTAGTCAGCATAAAGGTAACTGTAGCAGAGATGTATGAAGCTAAAACAAATTCTAAATTTTTCAAYATTRACATTTTAATGACATACACACTGTCCATCAAAAGGCCCTGTCTATGACGTTTTAGACAACTTATGCCAACTTATAAAAATTTTAAAGACATCTACGTTRAAGATGTTATTGAAAACATCCATTGGAAGCTTCTTTTCGGCGTGTATACTGTAATTCTGACAAATTGATCAAATATACAACTTTTATTCGCAATTTAGACGTAAAAAATATTTCACAAGTTGGCATAAGTTCTAGTTTGACAGGGCCTTAACAAAGTCTTATAATCTYATATCCATCCAAAAAGTATTTTGATCTTGTTTTGAGAATATACTATAAAAGAAAAAAAAAACTTTTTGGATGTCATTTAGGAAATTCCATTTTACTGAATCCATTAAACATATTTTATATCAAACATTTACTTTTGATACTTACAGTAAATGCCAGAAACTTTAAGTATTCAATTAATATTCTTCAAGGAGACTTTGACGTTTACCAAAGTAATTTTAAGATAAGAAACTTGTACTTTCACTCAAGTATTACTTTGAGGTACTTAATACAAGACTGCCACTGAATGGATTTTAATGAAACAGTCAGAAAGTATTAGACGCACATCTTCAGCTAATTCACCTTTGAAATAAAGATGGTCGCCACAGCTAATCAACCTTAGTGGTTATACTGATCTCGCTGAGGGTCATGCTCTGCTGTGTTTCATGGGTTGGTGCACAACATCGTTCACACAATTCAACCAAAACAGCTGTGACTCTCCTGTCATCGCAGGATTTTAGTCTAATTTCTTTACCAATGAAAACACTGAGGAGAAAATTATGAGCCCAAAATACGAACTCTGGGATTACACTGAATAGTTGAGTGCTGATGTAACTGAAAATGGTTAAGAGTTTTTTTAAGAGAAGGGGAAAAAAAGGCTGGAAAGCTGCTGACTGAACACAGCTGTGCTCCAGAACAAGACCCACCTGAACTACTATCAATATGAAGGAAGCTATAGGTGTTGGACTGTAAATGATTGAGTAAATCTGGGATTATACTGAACTAACAGATTAGGTGTACTTGATCCTTCTTCAAGAGTCGTTGACTGAACAGTTTCAGAGCAAAATCCTCGTGTGACGTTTGGGAAATTTGTGTGATGTCCACTGAACTGATGAACGAGTCTGGAAATAATCAGCTTTAAGGGGAGAAAAAATAAACCTAAATTTCTACGGCCTGCAATGCATCACTTATCTTTGACACTCAGTTACTTTTATCATTGAGAGAGAGGCTAATGAAAATAAAAACACGACACTTCAAAGTGAGACGACAAAGAGAAGAATTAGGAAGAGAAAAAAAAGAAAGCGAAGGACCACAGTAGAAATGTACGTTAATAACCTGGCGGCAGCTTGAGGTTTTCTTGTTTGGAGCTGAACGTTTGAAGAATAATTGTTGACAGCATTTCTAAGAAATCTGATTGAATCATTTCAAAATTTTCTCGTAGGGTTCTGCTTGGATAATTAAAAACAGCAGACAGGCGGAGAGTGAACTCAGTTTGTGCAGGAGGAAAATTATATAACACGTTTTATGTATTTAAAATGTTCCCTTTAAGACTGAAAAGAAAACCGTAATGCAGAAAAAACTGCCTTTAATGCTTATATTTTAGCACAAAGTTGAGATTTCTGAAGTAAACTTTAAAAACAAAGCGAAAATGTCAAAGGATTGTCTACTGGGTTTTTTATTTGTATCAAACAGTTTTAAATGAAAGCTGATATTTCTGAAACAAATGTATAGAACYAGGCGAATCAACTCGAAACCTTTTGCACAGCTGGAATACCAACACAACAAATGAAGGAAATGGTTGTTGTCATTTTGATTATTTAAAAGCATATGTTGCAGCACAAGGAGCAGTGCATTTTAAACTGAAGTCAGATGAGTGGTTTGTTGCAACATCTCCTGCTTTCCTCCAAACCTGTGTCCATCCCCCCGGGGCCCAGCTCCAGAGGAGGCTCAGGGGACAGAGCTGCAGCTCCGGGAGGGGAACTGGAGGGGAGAGGTGATGTGGGGGCAGAGGCTCTACTATTGTGATGAGAAGTACCGTAATGTGAGCGGTGCTGAGGTGAAAGGACAGAAGCAACACAGAGCACACTGAAAATAAGAGTCAGCTGTGTGATTTTGTAAACAAGTGGCAAAAATCATCAGGGATCAAAGCAGTAGAGATGTTGCAGATTTGTTAGTACCTAAAACAGATTTCCTCCCATTTCACACACTGAGATTGTTGATTCTCTCAAACAACAAAATCTTAATAAAAAAATCATCCCCAAGGATTTCTCTGCTCCATATGTAAATGCTTAAACTCAGGGAAAAAGTTTACAACTTTCCCACAAAGTTTGGCCAGATGATAAATTAGTCAGGATCATTACATTCAGATGGGGCTCTTTAACTGTGGGGCCTTTATCACAAAAATAAATAAATAAATAAAGTGGATTGTTATTATTTTAATGGCAGCGAGGAGTTAACGGTGGACCACTATCACATCTGTCAGCTGGGCTTTTTATTTCACTGATTGTGTGATCKGAGAACTCGATACAACTAAAGTTTTAACAGGGGAAAACAGTGCAAAAAATACATTTGTTTAATAGATGAAAAAACTGTTTAGAAATGCAAAATGTATGGATAAAGGTCTGATTTATCACTAACCTAAATTAACTTACATTCTCAGTTAATTTGTTTATAGAAACTGTCTGAAATCTTTACCTCCCAATGCATTTAATATTTTCTATGTCGTCCTTAAACATTACAGAACTTTGTGCTTTGCAKCTGCAGAAAGTTGTGTTGCCACCTAGTGATGAAATGTAAATCAGCAACTTTAATTCCAGGGATTATGAGGGAAAGATATGCGGGGATTTCTTTTACAAATCATGCAGAATTTTAGAAACATTTATTTGGACTGAGGGTGCAGATTAAAACTGCAGCCTCAGTACGGTGAAGATGAATTTCTTTGAGACATGAACATTTCTGAAAAATTATGGCTTCAAGATTGAAACTATAGCTTGCTGTATCTGACAAACCGACGTGCTGAAATCAATTTACTTCAACATTAAACACAAAAACACACACATTTAGCTAAATTTAAAAAACACACTTGGGGAAGATATATGAATATTTTTTATTGATAATGTTAAACAGTAAATGCTGATATCAGGCTTTGAAACCATTTATCTGGTTAGACTTACAACCTTGAAATGTAATCCACTCAGATATAAATATCATCGTGGCACAATGAAAGTTTAGCTCACAGCAGCTTCTTGATGTATTCTGATCTAATGATACAGAATAAATGGAAACAGCTGAATCAGCATTTTCCTCACAAAGAGTACAGCTACACAATGTGAAAGACTTGACATAAGACACTACATGTTACACATTCTGGTTGATTAGAAAAGGCTGTAACACAGTTTTAATACTAACTAGAAGAACCTGGAGAGTGCAGACCACTCACACAGGTGATCCAGACCACCACCAAAATTTAAATATTTGTTCTTTGTGTCAACATTTCCTGTTCTTGTGAGCAGACAAACAAACCAAAGCTTCTGAAAACATAATCTCCTTGGCAGAAGGAGAAATATGGAATTAACATTGGGAAACAGACACAAACTTAAATAGAGGCCGTTTTATGTGTCGGTAGTTGTGAACCAGATGAAGCTGCTTTGTATCAAACATGACAGAAACTGGAGTGGACAAATRTTTCATTTTTATTCCTTTAGGTGAACTTATTAGTAATCTGTGTGACGTCACAACCTTCCTGTACAGACRCAGACTGACAGTTTGTACTGAACATGGGAAGGTCAGCGTGGTTCAGATCTCTGCAGTGTGCTGTCCTTTACTCTGGATGATCCTCATGATGGACTGGACCACCTCCGATGTGGTGCCCTGACCACCCAGATCAGCTGTATGCAACTGGAAGACGGAGAACATAAAGCTGAGAAATATGGTTCAAATTACAATAAAATATTCAAACACATTGGAATAAGGTAGGGCGGTATTGATCTCTCACATACCAGCATATTATTTTGGTATAAGATATTACTGGGGCAGGGTGGAAAGGGGCAGGGCACATGGGATGTATTGTGGCATGTTGAGTTACTTTYTCCTGCTCCCAYAGTCTCTTCTTCGCAGCCAAACTTCATTCAAATTTCTCGTCTTTCTATATATATTTTTTCCTGTAGATTTTTGGCACATGTCAGATAACATTGGGCCTCAGTCAGAAAGGAGGTCSGGGGGTTTCTGTTCTTTTGGCTYGAGAGAAAAATGAGACCGATGGCGAATTGAGCTGTTTTATAATCCATGAAACKAATGTGTTTTCTGYTGCCCGCCACTGCAACGCGCATMAGAAMGGATGGTCATRTTCAGAAAAAAAGTGTTGTTTACTAAATATCATAACTCTGGATTTTTTTTGGCCTGTCAACACAATTTAAAAACTGGTCTTTAATTTGAAGTCTCTACTTTGGACACAAATTGAAACACTTTCTCAGAGAATTYGTTTCTTTCAGGCTAGAGTGATTTAAATAGATCATGTGACTAGGCTCCAGAGGGTATACCGTCAAAATAAATACAATATTTCAATAYCAAGGTATACCACAATACTGTCATACCGCCTAAGCCTACTGGAAGATAATACAAAATTTTAGCAATGTGGAATCAGATTTTGAGTCATAYGTAAAATGCTAGTTTAGAGTAGCAATTATGCTAGGCAATAAAATACCAACAAAAACTAGGTCTGTGAAATTGATCGAGTTAACTCTGATTTTAGTGCTGCATGGGCATAGATGAAATTTTTTTAATTGTGATTAAAATGTACAATCACTTTACTATGGCTGAATGTGTAGGTTTGTATATTGCAACGCACTCAGTGCATGCCAGGTCATGTTTGTACAAGAAGTGGTTCTCAAACAGTTTACCTGGATAAATAAAGGTTAAATAAATAAAATAAATAAAAAACTCCATGTGTAACACATTATGTACAGTTTTTTTTTCTTTTCGTCTTCTTATGGCTTATTTTAATTAATTTTATTTATTTATGTTTTGCTGACAACTGTGACCTTTGTATCTATCTTTCTTTCCCCATAAAGAACACATTTAGAAAGAAAATCCTTGAATTCTTGCTTTAAACATTGTTCTGCACAAAATTTAACTGACTCAAGTATGTTTGGAGCATTTTTAGGTCCTGTTTTATATTCAAAAAATCATGTGTAAGCATCAATTTTGTTTTCTAACTAAAAACATTAAAAACTAATTAATAACTCAAGTAATTTGTTTTATCAATATGCAATAGAAATGTATATTAAATTTAAGATTAATCATGATTAATTCCCAGCTACTTTGGGATTAATCAGATTAAAAATATTAATCATTTGACAGCCCTAGAAAAACCATTACTTAACTAAGTAACTTGTTGCAGATGACAGATGAGTTTTTTTTTAATAAAATCTCTGTGGCTCTCAATGTGTAATTAAACACTTAAGCGTGCTAAATCTGCTGTAGGAACCTTTAATCCCATGTTACACAAGAAAGGCCTGTAAAGTTCAGGAAGACCTGCAGGGTGCACAGGCCTGTCAGGCATAGAGACTCACCCTAGTTTCATTCATTGTGGTGAGAACTGCATTCCTGATCAAGTCTGCGTAGTCGTAAAGCCTGACGAGGTACAAGAAAACCAATAACATGCTTAATGATGAGAGTACACCTCAGAWCAAACAGCAGGAATGTTCACACTGAAAATAAAAGCTCACTTGAGGTGGTCTAGCATCATGCAGCTGGCCAGCAGCATGGCGGTGGGATTAGCAACGTTCCTGCCTGCAATGCTTTTTCCTGTGTTCCTTGTAGCCTTAAATCCAGAAATGGACAAGAGTTACTGATTTTGCCTTTTAAACAAACAAAACTAAGTAACCCCACTAATGTGCAATCACTCACCGTTTCAAACACAGCATAGTCTCGGCCATAATTGGCACCAGGCACGAGGCCCGGGCCCCCCACCAGGCCGGCGCACACGTTGCTGACGACATTTCCGTACAGGTTAGGCATCACCATCACGTCAAACTGCTGGGGTTTGGACACGAGCTGAAAACACAACCAAACATCATGTTAATAATTTATATTTTAAAACAATCCAAAACAGTTCATTATCACAGTCTCAGGTAAAACATGAGGGAGGCCTGGRATGGAGTTAGAAATATCACAATACAAGAACAACAGAGGAGGAAATGGGTGGAGACAAAACTAGATTAGCGTGTTTTTAAAAACAGGTTTGACAGCAAAGTTACTCCAGCTTCATGTTTTTTACGCCCAACGCTTTCATTCCAGAGAGCAAGTAGGTTCTCTGACATCGTTCTATGTTAAGGAAGATAGCTGAGGTGGTATGTATGAAATGTGACGTGGCAAGTGCAAAGCTGTACTCTGAAGGTAACGTGTCCTATTTGGCAAACAGCATGCCCAAGRGTGGCTTCAAAATGTCTTGTGACATCTGATGCAAAGGCAGTCTTGTTGTTTGAATTGGTGAACATGTTCAAAAATATTTCTGACAAATYTCCTTCTCAAAACAGTCGCAAAGTCATTGCGGGTGTCTTGAACCCTTCTCTGTTTTGTTGCAGGCATCTGTAATATGATTTCAACACGGGTGCTTTCCTCTGACAGAAAACATGGTCCAGATCTGAAAAAACCCACACGTATAATAAATAATAACTTTAAAAAAAAAAAAACTTCTCCAATCCATGAAGTGTACTCCAGTAGATTAAATCATAAATGTGAAGAACAGTTTACTGTGGATGGGCAAAGCAATATGGCTTCCAATTTGCAAACTAAGCACATAAGCTGTGCTTTTTGAAGGTAGCTGCTTGAAACAAGGCCACATGGCTCAAACAATTGCTTATTTTCTTACAATTTTTTTAGTCACCAACTAGTCTCAACCACATGCAAAGACACTGCCATGGCATTTTGCATACAAGGTAAAGATCAAAATAAACAATACAATCTATCTGCTGCACAGAGCTTAACCTGAAATAGACAAAGTCAGTGGTGTGGTGTCATGTTCTTTGTTTTTTCCAGTACTTATATCACCATTCAACCTCCACTATTAAAAAAAGCTGACATAGATAAAGATGGACCCACACTTGGTGCRATGGTTTACAGACCACCTTAAAAAGTATTAATGGACAACCTGGCAGTGAACTGAACTCACTGATGACTGCAGAAGAGAAGAAGACCGTTGATAAGCAGTTTTCCATCTCTGAACACCTACTGTCTGCACAGCTGAGTGGTTTCAGTGATAGACTTCTGCCCTAAACCTGCTTAAACWGTTCCTCCAGGTCTTCATACAAACATGTAACTTCTACACCCAGAAGGAATCAAGTAACTCTTTAAATAGCAATATTTTAAGCTTGAACTGACTCCTGTTTCATATATTTTCAGCAWACAAACTGACTTTGAAACTTTCGCATAGCACTATCTTAGTTGAAGATCTTTTTACACAAATGTGGCTTTATATTCAGTATGTGTATAATAGCAAGATCAACTTTTGTGAGTTATGYTTGTAGTAGATTTAATCCAGATGTTTGCATTTACCAGAAATCAGTTCTGCATGTCTGTATGTCATCACCTGCATGGTGGTGTTGTCCACAATCATGCTGTCAAACGTGATATCGGGGTATCCAGCAGCCACTTCCCTGCAGCACTGCAGGAACAATCCATCACCGAGCTTCCTGTGGAGGAGAGCAGGAACGCCACTCAATATTTCCACCACAACAGCTCACACGCATTACATAAGACTCATGAGGCCAGAGACTGCGCCGGGAGATGAGGTTTGCCTCAAAGCAACGTACATGATGTTAGCCTTGTGCACAGCGGTGACCCTGCGGCGACCCTTCTCCCTGGCCAGCTGGAATGCGTACTCAGCAATCCTGAGGGAATTGTTCCTGGTGATGATCTTCAGGCTTTCAACCACGCCAGACACACTCTAAAACAAAAAAACAGGCAAAAACATTAAAGGGATCCCTGATTAGTTGTAACATTAGACTTTATTTGATAAACATATACTTTAACTGAAAAATAAAGACTGTAAAAATACTGTAGGCTGTTTTGTTTTGTAAATTTTTAAAAGTAAATTTTTAAAAATATATTTTAACACGGACAGAGCCATTTTATTTACAAACAAAGCATTCTGGGTAAATGATGACGTGGATAGGTC